AAATTAACCCACTATTCGGACAAAAAAACCTTTTGCAGTAAGGTGTAAAGAATTTTGAAGACACATTCTTTGTTTCAAAAATTTACTTATAAAGATGAAATAATTAATTAGTAATGAAGATCTTAGCAACAAAAAATTCATTCTATAAATATCTCATGGAAATACTGTCTCTTAAACTTCTTTTTTTATTTCATATATGTGTTAGTATAATTTGTGTTAATAATATATTAAACACAATTTATTTTGTCTGAATAACTTAAGTATAAATTCATAAAAATTTTTGCAAAATATTTGTCATGAAAAGGGCTCGCGAAAAAAGTTTAACATGATAGTAAAAATATTATTAAGCAGGCTATTCAGACAAAAGACCTTTTGAAGTAAAGTGCAAAAAATTATTAATCGATTTAATTTAGCTTTGATATCCCGTATTATTTTTAGATATTTTTGTGTAATTTGAATTTATTAGCAAGAATTCATAGTAATTGACCCAAATGATCTAATAACCAAATGACCTAATGACCAAATGACCTGGTCATATGGCCAAAAGTAATTTAAATTTTGTGCAAATGATCAGGTTATTTACCATCCCTGTGTCTATAGACACAAAGTGCCAGGTATTATTATAGCATAATTGCCAGTAGCCTTTTCTAATTTGCAAATAAACGAATTTCTAAAAATATTTATTTTCAAAAATGCTCATGTCACCTTTTTCTTACAGAAATAATACTCAAGTTTATTTTTAAACATGCTTATTTTACTGCCGCATAATTCTCGACACCCTAGAGAAGGGATGTGATCCGTAGGATACTAAACTTAATAGTAAAATCTGTTAAATTTGGTTGAAAACGGATAACAGATCGCATCAATAGAAACATAAACTTATTTATTTTAAATTCTATTTAATTTTGTATATAGGACGAATTATTTTATGGAAAATCTTAGTAATCAAAATTTAAATTACGTTATTTGAACAATGAATTAGAATCGCATTTATGCTCAATTTTATTGGCAGTACTGTAACTTTAAATAAATTGGAAAATACCATATCGATATCGATATGGCATCATAATTTACGTAAACCAACAAAGTATTGTTATATAATTTTGGTTAAATAATAACCCTATATATTTTAATGAATGCAAGTTTTAATTTTGTACATATATAAGACCAGTTTTACAGATTTTTTTGAGGTTCTATTATCTAAAAAGCCATGGAAATCTTGAAATTCATCTATTATCAGATTAGAGTATCCAGAATTCTGTAGTGCATAATTCTGGACACACTCTATAAGTTAGTGATGAGACTCACATACAATAATAGGTCTCTTCCCGATATATTCTTGCTTTTTAATTTTTTTTAATTTTTTAAATTTATTTATATTATCTGCAAAACCTTTAATAAAAACACAAGCCATAAATAGGTGATTCTTAATTGGTTTATAATTTGAAAAATGATGGCAAATATTATATTGTTCTTGATCACGTGACTTGAAAGTTCATTAAGTTGAAAAAATATTTTCAAAACCAATTCAAGAGTTCATCCAGTTCGAGCCCACAAAAAATATCGACTTCAAAGAAATATATGTTTGCCAAAAAAGATTCACATGCCCAAGTTCTTTGCAAACTCATATAAAAAATGAATTGATTTTTGTAAAATACGATATTGTATAGTACATTCTAATCTCTTTTGAAATTTCTTAAACAGCATTCAAAGGTCCAGTTGAAGGTTGTGGTCGACACTTTTCAGTATCAGTAATCTTCATCGTCATCAGAAAATTCACTCAAAAAATGAACTACTTAGTTGTAGTTAGTGCAATTATACCCATTAATTTTCTTGATCAATATAAGAGAACATCGTACATATTTCTATTTTCCAACCATAGTAAATTTAAATTATTTAATCTTTAGAAAGTACTGATATAAAATTTTGAAAAGCTTTATTAAAAATTTGATTTAAGTATAGTAAAGATTAAAGTAGTTAGGGCAAGAATTCCTGTTTTCTAGGTAAATTTTTAATCAAATCGTGAAATTTTTACGAAAACAAAAAAAAAAAAATTAACAAAGCCGAAAAATGTCGAGATGTAGTTTTAACTACTACACACTTTAACACCAAAATTATTAAAATAATCAATGATTATAAGGTGAAGGTGTGTAAGTTGTATAAAAGAAAGGTGTAAAATAATTGTAAAGTACATTATTAGCATAAGAATAATTAGGTATATAAAAATTAGAATAATTATTAGGTACATATACAGAAAAATTAGGTTCATATTAATAATAAAAATAATTGGGTTCATAAAAATAATTAGGCACATAAGGTTTGTTATAATTAGATGCACAATATAGCATATTTTGAACCTTTTTTGCAATTTCTGACACTTTATTATATATTGGTTTATTTCATGGACCTTAATGTTTTTCCATAACATGAAATTACCTTGCCACAACAGCTTACTAGCTATATCGATGTTTTTTCGATTCCATGCAGTAAAATCTTTTTGAAAAATTATAAAACAATTGGAATTGGGCTTTTTCAGCCAATAAAGGGAGCAATTAATTTTACTAAAGGAAGAAAGGTCTTGGATTCAAGTTTGTTAATTTCTTTAATAGTAAAAAACCTTTAACTATATTTTTAATTTTTTTAAATTGAATCGCCATCATCAAAAAGTAGTTGAATATGATTGAAAATTTGAAATGTTATTGATATTAAACTTTTTTCTTTATAAAAGTAATTAACTTATGTCATCTGAAAATTATATTTATTTAGATTAGCTAGTTACTGTATATTAATTATATTTGGTTTTTATTTTTTAATTGAGCAAGAAAACTTGTAATGAGGTCTATTTAAAAATATTCTCAGAGATTAAATTTTATTGTTTAAACAAAAAAGTTAATATCGATATACATACAGTTGGGGTGTCCAGTGTACTATGTAGATCAAATATATGTATAGTTCCATAAGAATAATTTTGTGTGTAACAATCACGAAAATCTATAGTCTATAGATTTTCGTGATTGTTACACACAAAATTATTCTTATAGGACTATACATAAATTAAGTACAGATTTACAGTATCCAAAACTTATTTCCAATGCTAATTTAAATAGTAAAACAGATAACAGATCGCATCCCTAGCCCAGAGTTTGAATTTGGATATAATTGGCACAATTGAAAAATTTTTTTTTGAATTTATATTAAATACATTAAAAAAAAAACAAATATAGAAACAAATTTTATGAGATCGAAGATATCTTGCGATCAAATAGTTTTAGATTCGCGTGCTTATATACTAAGTACATTTCAAAGCAAAAAAGCATCGTGATCATAAATATTTGAAACATTTAAAAAAAAATACATTATTTCTAATTCATATTACGACATACCCATACTGTACATCATATATAAAACCTCTCAATCAAATGTACTCAAAAAAAATATTAAAGAAAACACGCTTTAAACTGGCATGTACCAGCTGTCAAAACATAAAAAGAAAATGTTCTGATGAGATAAGATGCGCGTAATGTAAGCGGTATAAACTTGAATGTATATATGTTAAATCAAATAGAAAAAGAGGCCCTAAACCCAAGTCTACTAGAAAACTCATTACTCCAGCGTTAGCAAATTTATTAAACCCAGTTATTTAATTTATTGCTAAATTTGCCTTCTATCTTAGTGAGTTAGAGTAATCCTAAAAAATATAGTTATTAAATATATATGTACCGGTATAACATTATAGAAACATAAGCAAAATTGTCTTCTCAACATTTTAATTAGTGCTTTTACTTATTTAATATTTTCTATAAATTTGGAATCAATTCCACTTCAGATGACCTCTTCAATGTCGATTCCCAGCTATTGGGCACTTTTAAAGACCCATTCTTTTAATTTTAATAAATCATTGACTTCATTAGCAATCAATGGGGAATGTCAAATACTCCACGGTATATACTGCTTGGCTAAGATCAATTAATTTTAGCACATAGTAGGTGCCTTGAGTATAGGGTGTCCAGAATTCTGCAGTGCATAATTCTGCTCACTCTAAAAATATTTTTTTATATTGTCTCCGTAAGAAAAACGTGACTTTAATCACTTTTTAAAAACTAATACAATACAAAAAGATATTTTTAGAGCTAGCAGAATTATACACTGCAGAATTCTGGACACTCTACTTGAGTAGTATGAACATATATATGAATTTCTTGACTGAAGTTAAATGATTTTCCGTCATATTTTAACTTTTGATGCTTTCGGTAACTCATTTTTTTAAAGATGAAAAATTCAATATGCTTTTGATTTGTTTGGCTTTGCTGGAGATTTTGACATTCTTGAGAACTCATTTTTAGAAAATTTTTTTGTGATGAGAAAAATTCAACTTACAACTTTAAGTTATATTTTGCAAATATAATAATACATTCTCATCAGATTGTTTATTGGTAATTGTCACATCCTTTTATTAAGTTATATTATTTACTAACTTATGTGAAGTAATAAAAGATGTGGCAATTACAATAATCTGTTTGACAACACTGAATATTACTGAATTATAAGTATACAATTATAACAAATAACAAATCTAACGATTTTCATATACAATTATAGCAAATAACAAATCTAACGATTTTCATATTGTATTAAACAATACTAACAATGCTTAAAAATTTCATCGGTGCAATCCTTAAACAAAAAAACTTCAGAATGAAAGGGATTTGTTGAATATAGAGATGCAAATTACAAACTATATCCAATGTAATTCACACAAATAAAGACAGAGATAAATAACTCTGGTATACATTTTTGGTATAATTAACTTTGGTATAAACAATTTGGTAGAATTAATTCGCTTTAAACAGTTATTCACTTAGCCTTTAAATTTATTTATTTAGACAAAAATCAATTCAATTTGGTTTAATAAGATTAACAACACATGTTAGAAAAACCCTAAAATTGGTTGTCTTAACATAAACAATATAAATAAATATAATTTAACAATTTAACATTCATTACAGATTCATGTCAAAAGGTAGTAATTTGAATTTTTCTGGCTTAAAATCCAAAAGTGACATAACAACATCATCAACTTTCGTAATAAATTTATTGGGAACCCAAATCACTCTCATGTTCGCTTTTTGGGTAGCGATAACACCGTTTATCAAATCCTTGAAAATCAAGCATTCTTCGGGAGGAGGGTTCTCTAATATTTCACAAGCCTTTATAAATATGTTGAGTTCAGGCTTGCCATTATTAACATCATCGCTGCAAATAATATGATCGAACATGTTCAATAAATCTTTATTTTTGCGAGCCTTTACGTCAAAATTCTTTCTGCTAGAACTTGTCACAATGACTAAAGGAACCCGATTAGCTTTTAAATATGTGATCAATTTTACTGCACCTGGTGTCGGTTTAATATTTAAAAACTTTGGCATATTGATTTTTCGCGTTCTAAACAGAAATCATTAATATTTAAATTTAAATTTAATTCAGATACTATCACATGGGCGAAATCAAGCACATTGAGCCCTAAACATCTTGCGTGCAACTCTGGTGTGTATTATTTATTATATCTTTTCAAAATTTCACCTATAAAAAATATATTAGATATATTCATATTGCCGTATTATGCATATAATTACACACGTGTAGACTCCGCATATATATCTTCGGTATCCAATAATAACTCATCAACGTCAAAAATACAATATTTTATGTTCATGCCTTGAACTGTGTAAATTGATAATTTTATTTATGAACTGTAAACTATTAATATGATTTTTGATTAGTAGTTTGCATCTCTACAATTATAAACGAACAAAACAAAGGTTTTTTAATGAAAGAATTTGACAATAACAAAATTGAATTTAATTGACAATAAATTACTTGTTAGTTTTAATTGATAACTTAAAATACAATTAAGTTTTTGGTAATTTATTATAAAAAAAAAAAAGACTTAAAAATTTATATCTTACTCCCTATTCTTATTTGGTAAAATTTTTATTTTTGTAAAATGAAAATATACACACATTTTTTAAAAAATAAATTCTTCCTATTTTAATTCAATTATTTTTAAAAAAAAAGTGCATTAATTTTTAAAAACAAATTTGAATATAGATTTCTGAAATTCAATTAATCTAAATAATAGGCTGTGGGGCCTCTATATAAATATTTTCTGTACAATATCCACTTTTTATTTTGCATTATGGTTTTTTGAGAAATTTGATTAAGTTTTGTTCAAGAACTAATATTCCAGATGGATATTTATAATATACCATTCATATTCTATTGAATTTATTTTGGTTTTCCTTATTTTTTCCAATGAAGTGTAAAACAAATTATTTATTTTTTTAAAATGAAAAAAACTGCAATTTATTTGCAAATTCAAATTTTATGAATATTTAAAAAGGGATCAAATTTTATATTTTGAAAATTGGGCTCTTATCACATTGGGTATAGGATTTTGTTATTTATTAAAAGGATTTTTAATAGTGTTTAAAAATTATTTAAATTGAAATATGGTATTAGTTAAAATAAGTTAAATTATTAAGATGGTGTTTTATTGAGAAAGAGAGAGATATTAGTAATTTATTTTCAATTTAAAAACTATACTGCGAAATTTTATTAATATAATGTTTTAATAGAAAAATGACCCTAATCTTATTTTAAATTAATTTATTATACTGTTCAATTGCAATAATAAATATCTTAAAGAACTCAACTTTAAATATGAATAACTTTTGATTTAGTGGTCAGTTTTAGTAATTTAACTATCAGAGATGATTTTAATAAGCTCAAAATTGTTAAAAGCTAATTACGGAATCACGAGATTTTTAACAATTTGTATTATTTTATATTGATACTTTTTATTTCATTGTAAAATAATTTTCATTGTTTTATCGCAAGTATATAACATGATTAGTTTATATTTTGACGTTTGCCTCAAAAATAGTATTAACCTATTACGTGGATAATTTATATTTTATCAAGTTTTATTATACCTACCTGATTTTAATTTATTACTTAAATTTAAATAAATTTGCTAGCAATGCTAATTAACTTAATTTAAAACATTTCACTTCGAGCATAAAATACCAACTTATTCAAAAATATCATTCTTTGATTATAGCGAATCAGAATAATGAACTGAAATGAGTTAAATTAGTTAGTATGCTTTAATATTTTCATTCACTGAAATTGACTTCCCACTATAGCAATATACGCTTAGCTAATCAGTGTCAAAATTTTGATATTATCATGATCTTGATATTGTCGAGATCTTGATATTGTCAGGACCTTGGTGGTGTCGAGATCTTGATAGTGTCTGGATCTTGATATTGTCGGGATCTTGGTGATGTTGGGATCTTGATAATGTCGGGATGATATTGTCGGGATTTTGATAGTGTCGGGATCTTGATATTGTCAGGATCTTGATGTTGTCGGGATCTTGATTTTGATATTGTCGATCTTGGTAGTGTCAGGATCTTGGTAGTGTCGGGATCTTGATAATGTTGGGATCCTAATAATGTCAGGATTTTATAATTCGAAATTTTTAGTGTTGGGATTTTGAATATTAGGATTTTGATTTGTTGAGATTTTAATTTGTTGAGATTTTAAGTATCGGGATTTTGCAAAAAAGTATTTTTAGAGTAAGCAGAATTATGCACCGCAGAATTCTGGACACCTATTTTCAATCTCAGATTTTAATTCAACTCCGAAGACATTTTAATTAGTCAAGTTCTAACTTTACCTTTAAAATAAATTAAATATTTTTTGCATAAAAAACTGAGTGATTGCTATTACTGTACCAGGTGTGGATTATTTGTGTAATGTCGACATTTATTTTTCCAAGAATTTTCTAAATGAGACACAATAACAACCAGACATTTTTGAAGATCTCACCAAATTTCTATTGAAATCAGATCATAACAGGAGGAACTGTCAATGTTACACATTAATTCTTCACAAGATGTAGTCAATCTAAATTATTTATTTTGTGCTTACTCTAAAATATATGTTATGGATATTGGGCTGAATTATGTATTTGGGACAAATTAGAGCATAAGTTTGGTTGAAATAGAAAAATAAATTTGGGCAGATTTAAAGTCACAACCCCATTTGCTAGGCCAATTTGGGCTGAATTAGAGAATAAAAATATAACAAATTAAATTTTGATTTAATAAATTTGGGCAAAACATAATATAAATTTGAGCCAAATTAATATGAATTTGGGCTTATTATAATTTTGGTGGTTAATTTGGGCCATATTAATCTAGACAAATTTGAGTATCGGTCTAATTTAATATATCTAAGCATTAATTTGGGCCGAATTAGACGTGAATTAATTTGAGCATAGTATAAATTTGGCCGAATTAGAGGCAGATTTAGAGTAATAATACAGGCTTATAATTTTTATCTAAGCTGGATGATTAATTAATTTAAATTACTAAATACTAGTATTAATAAATTTACCAATAGAACTTTTAAAATATACTTTACTTTAAAAAATAAATATATATCAATTCACTTCTCTTATTATGTCTTTACTACACCCATAATTATCCAGATGGGCCAAATTTCTAAAAGTGTAAAAAAAAATCTGTTTAATAATGGGATGAATTTTCATATATAAACTTTTTTTAATTAAATTGAATTTTATAAAAATTATCTCAATAGTTCACATTTTTAAATTTATTAATCAATACAAATATCACGTGACCAACTATATTTTAATTTTTTACATGACACGACAGAATAGACACATATAATTTCAGATAAAGTATTAGTGCGCATGTTTTTTGTCCATTAAATTGTTGAATTAGGGTTATTTATACAACAAAAAATTTTGTTCTTTTGTTTCTTACAATTTTTGAAATATCAAAGGTCAAAACAAATAGAGTCGCATCATTTGAAAGTTACTTTGACTTTAAAAAGAATAAGAAAGATAATGATTACTCTTTTTATAAATATGTGGTTTATCACATATATCATGGTAATTTTGCTGCAAATTATTCAAATATGGAAAAAACTAATTTTGTAGCTGCTTATAACAATTTCAAGCAAAAATATTTAGAGAACAATATCAAAGAAAAATTATCAGATATAAGTTTTTTGAAATAAAAAATAGTATAAGCCTTTTAATAATTTTTTTTTAGAATGACAAAAATATTACAAAAGTCTATTTTGATTTGATTAAAGAAATTCTCAATGATTATAAAAAAACCTATACATTGTCTTTGTTGCTAATTAAAGTAAATAGAAATTTTGGTTGGTCAGAATTTAATCCTTCACATGATGCTAAAACAATTTCAGCAATACAAAGTATTAAGAATGTAAATATATTATAAATATATGTGTTTGTTTTTTCAGAATATAGTAAAAATCTTTATATAATTCAATTATATATTTTAATAGTGGTCTTCAAATAACAACAAATTGTTATCAGCTATTGGAGATTATATTTCAGAAGCGCTAGAGGAAGAGGTAGATGAAGATGACCCTTTATATTCGGGTATAATTAATATAGAAAATATTACTAATAAAAAAACTAGTTTATTCCAAAAACTCAAAAATCTAAATGAGTGGAAACAGCTTAACGAAATAGGAATACCAATAAAAAAGATGCCATTTAATCATAAAAACATTAAAGCTTGGCTTGAAGAAAAAGAGAATGAAGTAGAGATAGATAGCAAACAATTAGTTTGTAACATTAAATGTATTTGGAATAATCCATATTATCAGAAGAGATCAAGTCTTATTAATGAATCAACTTTTACTCACGATATCTTACCGTCTATTATTAATTTTATTTCTCCTGAGTTCTTTAAACGTTGGGATCAAGCTCAGAGTCTTTCAGCAAAAGAGCATGGTGCACGAAAATTTGGTGATGTAATTGGATATATTACTAGAAGCAATAAAAATCTTTATGAACTTTTTTTTGTAGAAGTATCATACGGGCCATTTCATTAAGATCCGGAACCTCATATAGATGAGGATAAAAAAAAATTAGGCAAATTAGGTAAAGATTCGATTGATCAAATCAAAAGATTATCAAATAGAGAAAAAATTTCAGTTATTTTGGTTCATTTTTTTCAAGAAGAAAATTTTTTTTATCTTATAGATAAAAAAATTTCTCCTGCCTACAGGAAATTATTAATAGGACATACACGAATTCTGTTGTTTAAATATTCAATTACTATATTAAAAGATTTTTTTTTGGAATTATAGAATATTAGAGAGTATTTATCTCATATATTTTATTCTTTGAATTCCTTAAATGATAGTGAAGTAGTTTTTAACAATAATTCATCAAAAGCAACTATAAAAA